GGGGGGGGGGGGGAGGCGGACGACGAAATTTTCGACTATTCTATAGCATATGTCCCCAATATTGAGGAAATTTCTCCTTTTATTTTTATAATAAGCCAATCTTGCCCAACTGTAAAACAAATATTACCCGACTGACTTAGTCTGCCCAACATTCTGGGAAGCTCATATTTATATATTCGTGTTCTGCATTATTCACTTCTTTTGAAATTGATTGTTTTTACGGTCTATGAACATGAATATATGAATATAAATCTCCCCCCCCCCAATTATCGATCTTCCTACGCCTATGGCTATAAAGACTGAAATATCGAAATTTAATACGTATGTGAGCAGATCACTCATAGCAACGACAGATAAGTAGTTTATGTTTGGTATTGTATTATATTCTACTTACTAGGCTTTCTTTCGCTTTGGGAGATTACACTCCAGTTATAAAGTGAGGTCATCGGCGAAAGTAGAGTATTTCAATTTCCGAAAATCAAAAGAAATTCAGGTGCAAAACGTTATATTCTTGACTTGCAACCAATTTCATGGTACATACCAGGCAATGTTCACTGATAAAATCACAAAATAGACATGACATGGTATCAACCTCGCAAGCAAGGGCCTCCACACCCGCCGCGGGTGGTATATCTATTGGACATGGTATATCTATTCTGTGATAAAATATTATTTTGTGCCATGCCACCTGACATGGCTGACGTGCAAGTCAAGAATAGAGAAAATGTAAAAATCAGTCCAATCCAACTGTGCAGTCCAGTCTATGTTTTGTACTATGCCTATTATTTACAACAAATCGCCTTCTAGTTTTGTTTTTAATAAAAAAGACAGACTGAGAATTTAAATATGTATATGTACAGGTATAAAAGTGAGAAAATATGCGGCATACACACCATTTAATAGCTGATCAACAAGTTTTTTTTAGTTGCAAACAATTACATATTAAGAGACGTCGACAATCGTACAATCAATATGTCAATAAGAATAAGAGTAGCAAATATAATATATAACTATATGATACTAAATACTGCAGCGTGTGTCAACTGCAAGCATGGGTAGTTTGGGGTCTGCTAGTATATTTACTACTATAATTATTTTGATATAATTTTCTTGATATAATTTTCGAATGCAGAAGTTGTTTTTAAAACCCGATTTAAAAATGGCTTGCGCACGAGAATGGAAGGCTTAAAACGCAATTTGAGTACCAGACAATTTGATGTACACTAAATCCAACGCGCGACCCCTAAAACGTGGACTTTTCTGCCACAGTAGCCTTTCACGCATAATTTTTGTAAAGAGTAAAAAAATCAAATCATGCATAAAATAAATCGTGCACAAAATAAGTCGTGCGTCTAATAAATTAAGCCTGAAAGACTACTATATGGCTAAAAAGTCCAAGTTTTAGAGGTTACGCGTTGGACTTTATCTACATCAAATTGTCTGGTACTTTGACAGTTCAAAAAACGCCTTCTAAGTTTGCGCCCTATGAATTCAAATTGCGTTTTAAGCCTTCTATTATTATATGCAAGCCATTTTTAATTAAAGAGATTTTTAAAAACACTGACCCTCCTGCACTTGAAATTTATCTTTTAAAATAATTTTAGTGGTAAAGATGCTAGCAGAACCCAACTATATCCATGCTTACATAATGCTTTCAAAAAATTTTTGCGGAATTTGCAGTTTAGCGAATATTTTCGAACTGTACAGTTTTTATACACCCTATATATATATATATATATATTAAACTATTATTATATTTAACTATTTTACTTAATTTATTTAATTTATTTTACTTACTTACCAAGCCATGACAAACCTATAGGGTCAGCCCATGATCTGGTAGCGTAGCCACCAAAGACCAAATTCGTATTATTCTTGACAACTTGAACGATAGTTAACGTGGGTACTTTCCCGTCGCATTTCCGATGAAATGTCGAGGCTGCCCAACCATGTTCGCTGGCTCTCCAACATATTGTCCAATATCCTTGTCTTGGCAACCATTCTTCCAGCTTATTATGAAGTTCGATTCTCTCAATTGCCAATATCACTGACTTGCGAAGTGAGCCTAAATATATTTTTCTCTTGTTATTTCGCCCGTAACTGTTATAATACATGTACAACTAGAGGGCACTCGGAGACTGCATACCTCCGCCTACGCGCAAAATATTGAAGTAATCTATTGTTATTAGAATTTGAATGGCTGGTGCATATATTATGCACGTCCTAATTACGCATTCAGTATAAGTTTTATTTAATTGACCGGGAAAAGCAAGACAAACTTTTGTTATTTCTCATTCAATTTTTAACCAAATTCAACCAAATTTTAATCAGTTCTTCCTTAGCCGATGGGAAATGCACTCACAAAATTTCGTACGGATATGTTTGGTATTTCTTGAGTTATCGTGCTCACAGACAAACACACACACATACACACACACACATACACACACACACACATACAAACCCAGATGATTACATAACCTCCTGGCGGAAGTAATAATCTTACTATTATTACTGATATAATATTGCAACAGGTTCGATTCCCAGTACTCAGGAAATGATTTTTTATCAAACATAAATATCGACTTAATCAACAGAAAACTGAGATGGATACAAAGTAACTGGTAGCAAAGAAGGTTGTATATTTGTACAAATATACAATAAACAAAAATCTTTAGACCTTTACGAGTTCAGTGCGACCCCAGCGCCAAAAGAAACAAAACAGTTTTAGATACCGGGGGTTTTAGACAGGGGCGTGGCCGGGAGCGCTCGTGTTGAGGAGCCTAGAGTCCAGAGCGTGGGCATGTCGCTCAAAGAAGTGACTATTGGAGGGTTTTTTTGGAAATTTTTTCAAAAATTTATAGAAAATTATTGACCTAATCAGTTCAGCTGCGAGTATATATTCAAAAACGTCCGGTGAATGTTCAGCGACTGTATTCTGTAGCTCAATGGTCAAAGCACTGCACCGGAATCCCTGGGTCGCAGCTTCAATTCTTGCCGGGGCGCCTAAAGTTGCATTTTCGCTTGAGTTTAATTAAAAAATATGAATTATAAATTTCCTTCTACATGCAAAACCCATCCACATTTCGAAATTCTATGGTTGCTTATGATCAGTCGTTTCTCATTACAAATGTAAAATAACTAACGGCAGCCATCTACTGTAAAAATGGCTTTAGCAGGTTGAAATGTATCTTATAGTTTGCTGATTAATTTATTCTTTACCCGGAAAAATCCATATGCCCGCTAATGCTATAGTGATGAATAACTTTAATTAGGTAATTGCAAGTTGTTGAAGTAAAAAATATTGGTAGCATTGAACCTTAATCGTTAATTCAAGTCACTTACGATATAAATGAAAGTGATACACTTGACGATTTCTAGATGTTAACCTATACTTAAGCTGGCAGTCGCAGTACACAAGTAAAAATCTCACAACTTGTCAACAAGATGGAGGGTACCTAAATATCGAGTCAGGATTTGAGCCTGGACTCGAGTCAAGGACTCAAACCGACAGTACTCAAGCCGATTCAATGACTTAATGTTATTCTAACAGATGGAAACCAGTATATTTGTCGATACCGATATTCTATGTCATTTCACAAAATTCAAAGATGACATCATGACAGTTGTACTTTTGAATTTAATATTGTGAATGTCACTGTAGCTACCTGAATGTGACATCACAGATTTTTCTATTTAGTTTCTTGTATTTTTACTATTGTATACCTATAAATATATCTACGGTTTAATTTGTCGAGTTTATGGTGTTGGGTTTGCACTTTAGTAGTAATATAGGTACCGATCGATCCGGATTTTTGGGGCGGCGTGGGGCGGCGCATCATTATATATGCAGGTAATTACCATGCAAGGGGGCGGCGTATGCAGGTAATTAAGGGGGCCGCACAAGTGAGGGTGCGTAGTGACGTCACGCGGGCCTGTCCGGGCGAAATTGGACAAAATTTGCTGACTACGCATTTTTTAGCGTCCCTCCACGTTTATGATACAATGGAGGGATTAATGTTGGCTTACTATGATTGGTTGTTTGATTTAACGAGCATCTGTATAAAATCGACAAGCGTCTTGTAACAAGCATAGTTTTGCATTTGACAACGCTCTTATTCTCGGAGGTCTTTTGGGTAGCTGATTTTGTTAAATTTATATTCGGAGAGAAGTACTTGGAAGAGAATGGCCCAGCAACATTGAGAGAATATTTGGTAAGTTTAATTTGAACTGAAAATTAATATAATATCGAGAGTTTTGTGTATGTAATCGACTTCTATATTTTGTAGGAGAGATCAATTTATGAGCGAACTGGAAAATGACGATGTCAATCGCCAGCTTTGCGCCGTTGCTGCGGATGAAATGTTCGAGTCCTGGTCGTCGGAGACACAGGAGCAGATTTTGGCTGAATGGAATGATTGGCGACGAGACGAAAACCCTGGACATAGCTGTGATGAATGTGGCAAAACATTTACACGATCCAGCGACCTAAAGCGCCATACAAAACGTGTACACACTGGAGAAAGAGCTTTTTCTTGCAACCATTGTGACAAGTCCTTTGCTAGGAAAGATATGTTGAAACGTCACGAGAAAGTCCATAGCAAGGAAAAAATATACGAATGCCATAGATGTCACAAGAAATTTGCTCGAAAGGTATGTAGTACCGACAGTTTATATTCTAACTGCGATGTATTTTAAACTATTATGCTTATTTATTATTTTTCAAGGACAAACTGAATAGGCATATGAAAATGCACGAGCGCCGTGGCGCGGAACGGGAATATACTTGTAAAGTATGTGGTGAAGTATTCCGAAATATATTTCCATTACAAGCCCATCAACGCGAAGTCCACCAAGTTGGCCGTGGGAAACGTACCAAGACGCCGACCCGGCGAACGAAGAGACAAAGAACTGATGAACCAGGTATGTATAGATGAAAATATTTCGATTGCTGACTTTGTATTTATACAGATATTTTCTCTCTTTTAAGAACCTACAAGATCTTCGACACGCGTTAACGAAGGTAAGCATTTGTGTGTTTTCCGTTGCTATGATTGTCAAACACCAGTAATACATTTTTTTTCCTTTTCAGGTGCTTCTACGTCTGCTGTCGTCAACGAAGGTATGAAATTCAAATTTTTATACCGCATATAGTATATTGATTGTGGTGATTTGATGTGTATATTGACAATGTTAATTACTCGCAACCTCGGTTTTAAAACATTGCCTGGAGAAAGACTTTGAAATCCTAACATTTAAGAAAGAAAGACTTTGAAATCCTAACGTTTACATTTGAAAAATATTTTCATGTTGTTTCACTGATGTTTGTGTTTTGAAGACCTGATAAAAATAATCGAGTAATTTTTAAGCGTGGGTTTATAGTGTGGAATGTTCCTAATTATTCGTGTTAGACTTATGTTCATTTGATTTAGAACTATTAATTTATGTCATTGTACGAGTATTTACGCTACATCTGTTTTATAACATTCGCTAGCGTTTTATAGTGAGGTAAAAGTAATTTTTTGGTTGCGTGGGTTTATCATGTTGCTATGTGAAATTTGCATGTTACTAATTTTTTCATGTTAGACTTATGTCGATTTTTTATGAATCGGGTGTTTGTATGACAAAATTAGTGCGAAGCTCTAGACAAAAATAAAGAATCGGGTGTTATTTCTATAGGACCCCAACCGTTCCCTCAAGATCCGCTATTACCCCCACCTAACCTGCCTTCCCAACTTCACCGAGATCATTGGCGTGCTATACGTACGCGACAGAGTCCAGACAACCGAGTGCAAGATTGGTACAACTATCGTCTAAGCTCAGCGAATATGGGTCAACTTGTTGATGATATAGAGCGTATATTTGAAGATCAATCGACTGTCTTTAAGTTAAATCTATCTTTTGGTTTCGTATTGTTTAACAACGAGACACAGCAAATGCAATACCACCACCCCTCAGCAAACAACAACCGTGTTTTCGACTCCCCATTCCAGATACATAATCGCGAGGATTTGGTCCAAGTTCGCGAAACGATGCAAAACATTGACATTCATGAATGGGCTCGACAACAACGGCCCAACTCGAAATGGATTGTCATGGGTATTACCAACGTTATCTTCTACGTCACCAAACTTCGAGACCATCTCATCGGACGTTCTGTGCGTTTACCCAAATACGTGTTGGAGAATCCTGCCACTGTGTCGCTAGACTGTGATAGTAATACCAGTTTACCATACGAGGATAAACTTTGTTTCTTTCGTTGTTTGGCTATGCACAAAGGTTGCCACCCCAAAAATTTAGAACGTGATACTCATCATTTTTATGAACAATATTCGGAAGATGATGATTTTGACGGTGTTACCCTAGAGGAACTACCTGAACTGGAAAAGTTATTCGAGTTAAACATTTACGTGTATTGCCTTACAGAGTTACACGACGAGGGCGAAGACAAGACCTCCATTGTGGCTCAACTGATACAGCGCTCCCATTGTAGATATACCAATTCGATGTACCTGAACCTCTACGGTAGTCACTTCAGCTACATTAAGAATTTGGCCATGTATTCCAAGTCCTATTGTTGTTGCAAATGTGACAAAATGTGGAAGACAGCGAGAGCCTTAAACCGACACGAGCGAACATGCGAAGCAACTATACGTCACATCTTCCCTGGTGGTGTCTACACAGTTCCACAACCATCTTCGATTTGTTGGCCGACGAGGGAATCGAGATCCCTGAAGACCTCAAGTACTTCCCTTATCGTGCCACCTTTGACTTTGAGTGTTATTTCAAACGTGAAACCGAACATCCACGAAATACAGCAAAGTTGACTTGGGAAGCCGAACATATCCCCTTGAGTATCTCTGTTTGCTCCAACGTCCCTGGTTATGATCAACCCAAATGCTTCGTCTCGTCTGGCAGTACAAGTGAAATTATCCAACAGTTCGTGGAATATTTGGTTGAGGTCAGCCAGGAAAGCTATGGATTGTTGCTGGACCAATTCTCTGACGTTTTTCGTCAAATTGATGAACGAGTCAATGAGGTATAATTCACACGTATTAGATTCTTAGTATATTTCTTATCCTTAATATTTTTTCTTATATCTTTAGGTAGGGGAAAACGAGGTTATGGAAGTTGTCGCGGGGGAGGACAATGAGGTAAATTATAGGAAGGTTATATTTGCACTTATATTCTTTATATTCTAATATATCTTATGTTTTAGCAAAATACATAGGAACAGATGATAGAGGAAATAGTGGGATGTTTGATGGGGCTGAATGATGAGGTATATAACATAAGGTTTGAGCTCAACAGTGGTCTTTCCAGTGCTTACCATATGTGTACCTTTTAGGTGAGTGAAGACGAAGTGGATAAAGATAAAGACGTTGAAGAGAGAGTAAGTATCACACTCATGATCCATTTTAGCGGTTGTTATATAGATTAGTAGGGATGTGCAAGTATCTTGCTTTTTACTTATGACACCTTTTCATTTATTTAGGATGTGGTCCATCCTCTACTCAAACTCCAAGATAAGTTGTCAGAATACTTACAAGAACTACCAATTCTTGGGTTCAACTCTGGTAAATATGATATTAACGCTGCGAAAAACCCCTTCTTTTCACATCTCGTCAAACACGAACAAGTTAAGTTTGTGATAAAAAGGAACAATAACCACATGTGTCTTAAGACTCAACACTTAAAATTCCTCGATATCACAAACTATCTGGCTCCGGGATTTAGTTACGAACAGTTTCTCAAAGCGTACGAGTGCTCCCAGACCAAAGGCTACTTCCCGTATGAGTGGGTCGATTCCCTCGACAAACTCAATCATTGCTCCTTACCACCACGCGAAACTTTCCATTCCACTTTGTCCGGAACCGACATCACCGAGGACCAGTATGAGTATTGCCAGGGTGTATGGGACGAGAATAACATGACAACTTTCCGCGACTTTCTCGTGTGGTATAACAACCTTGATGTAGTCCCCTTCCTTGAAGCGATTGATAAAATGAGCAATTTCTGGCAGGAAAGGAACATTGATATGTTTAAGGACGGTGTGAGTGTGCCCGGCTTAACCATGAAATATTTATTTTCCAACATCCCAGGCACCTACTTTTCCTTGTTCAGCGACAAGGACAAGGATATGTATTATTCAATGAAGGATAATAACGTAGGGGGCCCCAGCATTATTTTCAACAGGTACCACGAGAAAGAGAAATCATCCATACGGAAGGAAGAAATGCGAGCCAGAGGAAAAGAATCGAAACCCTGCAAAAATGTAGTTGGTTACGATGCCAATGCGCTCTACTTGTGGGCCATCATGCAAGACATGCCAACGGGGCAGTACACAAGACGGTTAGAGGAGGACGGGTTTAAGAAACGGTGGAGTGGGAAAATGGCGATCGAATGGTTAGAATGGCAAGCGTACAGTCGCGGCATTAGTATCAGACACGAGTACAACAACACGGAGAAAAGAATTGGCACTCGTCGTCTCCCTGTTGACGGTTTTCACGCTGAATCACAAACGGTGTTTCAGTTTCATGGTAAGTTGTTGTTTTAGTGTAATTAGTTAAGATTAATTAGCTAGGATTAAGTTAATTGTGTGGGAGTGAGTTTGTAGCGATTGCGTGGGCTTGTAGGATAACTTTATTTTTCTTTTGTAGGTTTAACTGTATTGCACTTTATTTTAATAGGTTGTTATTGGCATGGGCACAACTGTCATCTGAACGAAGGGAAAGAAGTCAACGAGAAACGTGATAAGCCAATGAAGGAACTCCTTGAAGATACCCAGAGAAACAGCGCCTATATCACGAAGCAGGGCTTCAATCTCGTTGAATGTTGGGAGTGTGAGTGGCGAGATATAAAGAAACGAAATACCGCGCTGCAACGATTCATTGCCACGCAACTTCGCCGACCCCTAGACAAAGTAAAAACGATGACAACTCGATCAATTGTCAACGCTGTGAAGAGTGATAAACTATTTGGATGTGTGGAGTGCGACATCCACGTTCCTGAGAGTTTGCGAGAATACTTCAAAGAGATGTGTCCCATCTTCAAGAATACCGAAATATGTCGAGAAGACATCGGTGAGTTCATGAAGAGCTATGCCGAAGAAAACAACATCATGCCCCGACCTCGGCGGAGTCTCATTGGAAGTATGATCGGAAAGAAGATAATGTTGGCAACTCCTCTTCTAAAATGGTATTTAGAACATGGTTTAGAGGTACGTTTTAAATATTAAAAACTTGTAAAATTGCAGGAGAAATTTTTTTAACAAATTGTATTATCGTTTTAGGTAACACACGTCTACCAGATAGTCGAGTATACCCCTAAGCCATGCTTCAAACCTTTCGGTGACGTTGTATCGGATGCTCGTCGTGCTGGTGATGCAGACCCCTCCAAAGCCATCATTGCGGACACGATGAAATTGGTCGGGAATAGGTGAGTTTTAAAATCACGCTGTCGTGACGTATTCAAGAAATACTCATTTTTTGTATTTCTATAGGTGAGTTTTAAAATCACGCTGTCGTGACGTATTCAAGAAGTACTCATTTTTTTGTATTTCTATACAGCTCATACGGGAAGACCATCACCAACAAAGAGCGTCATCGCAAGGTGGATTACTGCAACGATGATGAGGTTTCTGAATTAATCAACTCACCATTCTACCGCCAAATGAACGTGATCGACGATGACACCTACGAAGTGGAAAGTGCTAAGAAGAAAATTAAGTTGGACTTACCACTACAGGTATGTATTGCATGATCATTTTGTCATTAGAAATATAAATTAATAAATTATTCTTATTTTACAGGTGGGGTTCTTCGTGTACCAGTATGCGAAACTCCGAATGTTACAGTTTTACTACGACTGTTTAGATACATACCTTGACCGTTCCGATTATGAGTATTGCGAGATGGATACAGACAGTGCCTATATCGCTATTAGTGGTGAAAGTGTTGAAGAATTGGTCAAGCCTGGTTTAAGAGAGGCGTTTGAGAACGATAAATGTAACTGGTTTCCTCGTTCCGATACAACTGAACATGCGAAATACGACAGGAGAAAACCGGGATTGTTTAAAGTGGAATGGGAAGGGGATGGAATTGTATCTTTATGTAGTAAGACATATTATTGTTTTGGGGAGAAAGATAAGTATAGTTGCAAGGGTGTAAATAAGAAAAATAATGTAATTAATAAAGATAAATATTTAGATGTGCTTTTAAGTAAACGTAGTGGGTCGGGTGTAAATAGGGGTTTTAGGGTTTTAAATAATACTATGTGTACATATGTTCAAGTTAAGAACGCTTTTAGTTATTTTTATCCAAAACGTAAAGTTTTGGAGGACGGCGTCTCCACTATTCCATTAGATATTTAGTTTGTAAATAGTCAATATATATTTTTCAAAACATACTGTGTATTTCTCTCTCCCCCTCTCCCATGCAGAGTTTCAGGGACAAAATAAGTCCCGCACGGGACAAACAGTCCCGCAGGGACACTTTGAGCGTTTCCGGGACTTCCGGGACAAAAAAGTCCCGTGCGGGACATTTATATAAGAGACGGGAGTCAGGTAAGGTCTTCATTCCACATTATGCCTCGAAAGCGTAAAGACTGTCCGATTTGTGGTAAGAAAAATTTGTTGAAATTATCTAACCATTTAGCAGGTGTTCATGAACTTTCCACCGCACAAAGACAACCTTTCCTTATCCGTGCCAAATGCGCACCTTTGGACTTGGAAGTAGTTTTAACTGAATTGTATAGACTTATTGGGCGCATGATATAAATAGTGACGATTAAAAATATATGATTTCATTTTCAACATGTACTCCATACAGTTAACACATCCGTTTGGGCTCTTGGTTTCTGGCAGTACAAAGTCAGGCAAAACTACATTTGTGAAAAAACTTTTGAGTTACGTTAATGTCATGATAGATAAACCTCCAGAAAACATTGTGTATTTTTATACCGAGTACCAAGACACGTTTGGAGAAATTCAAAATTTAGTGCCTGGAATAAAATTTGTAAAAGGTTTACCTGATGATATACTGGATAGTATTAATCCCGAAACACACAATTTATATGTCATTGATGATTTCATGGGTGAGAAGGACGGAGTTATTTCAAAATTATTCACGAAAAAATCGCATCATGGTAACCTGAGTGTAGTGTACATTGTACAAAATTTATTTCATCATAGCAAAGAACACCGTACAATTTCTCTCAATGCAAGTTATTTATGTTTAACGAAAAACGTGCGAGACGCAAGTCAAATTATCCATCTTGCCAAACAATTGTATCCCAGTAACACCAAATTTTTTCAACAAGCCTATCAACTGGCAACCAAAGATCCCTATTCTTATCTATTTGTCGACCTAACTCCCACGTGTCCTGACGAGATACGGATTCGATCCGGGATATTTCCAACCGACACGCATTATGTCTATCAACCCAGAGTATAAAAAAGTGGGAACGTGTGTAAAATATTCATTTGAGCATGTCTGCTTGTATGAAGAGGAACTCCGAACTTCTGAAAGTATTGGCCAAGTGTAAACCTGAACTGAGAAAAGCTATTTTGAAAGCGGCTGAAGACGATCTGTTTGAAGCTATAAGACAGTGTCTATTAAACGTTTGGTTTGACACGATTAAACTGAAACCGAAAACAGCTAAAAACTTGCACCGCATTCCAAGCATATAAAGTTTGCGGCTGACAAACGAAATCCTATCGTAAAAAGAAGAACCCGTCTAGTCCAAAAAGGGGAGGGTTTCCTACCGTTTCTACTCACTTCAGTTTTGGAACAGTTGGCTAACTTTTTATAATGGAACACGTCAAGCGATTAGTACTTGTCCCTGAACATATGGCTGAACAGCGAAAGAAACCTCTCGCGGCGCCTTTGGCGACACAGGTCAACGAAATAGATTCGGACATGCAAGATATTATTCGACGACAAGATATACCAATTGATGAAAAGGCAAAGTTATACGACCACAATCTACAACGCTATCTAACCTTTTATGATAAACGAATGAATAAACCTCTCCGAGTAAACGTGACGCACACCGATAAACCTGAAGAACCTCAAGCAGAACAGCCGAGCGAAGAGCCTGAACCTTCAGACGAGATTGAAACAGATATCATGGACAGTGTACCAGCTACTATGAAGTCAAGAGCTCGACAACTCATCAAAAAACTCAAGTCAAATAAAGATCTTGTTGGTTGGAATGAACAAAGCCAGATGGTGTTCAAAGGAAGATCGGTTCCTAGCACAAATATAGTTGATTTGGTAAATGATTCACTACGTCAATGGAAGAATTTCAACCCCGACGGCTGGGAATTGTTTTCAAAAGTTCTCGGACATTTGAATGTACCCGAAGGTATTGTAAGAAAGGAAAACCGTCTTGGAATTGTTCGCGAATATAAAACCACAATATTAGTAGTCCATATAAATGGTTAAAATAATTTATTTCTTGTAAGAGAAAATTTTACAATAAAATGTATTTAAAACTAAATCTAGTGTTTGTACCACTTGTCTATAAAATCACGGACAAGCTCATCATTCCATTCTTTGCTATCCGTAAACATATTTGCGATGGTTGACATTGGAATGCGTCTACATCGATGTAAAGCAAAGAATAATGTATATTGTCCACACACGTCTGATGAAGGGGATTGCAAAATTCTTCTGTTCCATGTAAATGTAGCACAATGCTTGTCCAAAAATTGAGTAAAGTTCTGATTGTAAAATCCAGGAGCCTGACCATACGAATCCCCAAATTCGCCTTTACCATCTTCTGTAAGGTACATTGCAATCCAATGGGATCCGGGCATATCGGAGGCATCCGTGTTAAATATATACCCTCTGGGACTCTTTCTTATTTCGCGCGGTAAACGATCTGACGGTAAAACGTCCGTAAACACCGTTTTTGTAAACGGATCATTTTTGAGAATGTTCATAATCTGCAGCGAATTCATCTTCAGTTGTTGAAATCACACAGCACGTTCCGGTTCGCATCAATTTCGATAAGACTTTGAAATTCACCAAGCACCACGATATTTATAGCTGTCTCCAACGGTGTTCCAAATCGACATTCAATTGACACATTTCCGTTCTTAATCGGTTGTACATGATCATCAAGGCATAAGTCAGGAGTGAGGTCAAACACAAACAGTGTATAACCGTTTGCATATTCTTCACGTGTTATACCATTACCCTGATTATCAAAAATCTTGTGTGCGCCGGCGTACAGGGTTTGAAAAGCAGAAATGTAATTACTGTCTGCTCCAAATTTCAACTGTAGTGGTTTTCCAGGTAAGTTCTCTCCGTTGACAGTGAGACCCATGGTTGTGATATCGTAATTTTTAAAATTGAACGGATTCTTCGTATATGTGCCGTTAAAGGCATCGGCGTCGACCATTCCAATCACGATACGATTTGGTAAACCACCTTGAAATATATTAGGTTGATTTCCAGACATATTCCCCCGAGGTACGGAGACAACCTTGCAGTCGATCCTGTTGATTGGGTATTTGGCAGTGATTTGTTGAAGGGACTGGGAATGAGCCAGTACAATACTAGGGGCTACGTTAACTCGTCGTACACGAAACAAACATTCCTCGATGACCACTTTGAAATTGGGATCTTCTGCGGATGATACCAAACAAAACGGATCTCTAGATCTCACCAGCTTGATCTTGATTGGAACAGCACCAAGAATATAACGGTCTTGTGCGAATAGATCAGAATGAAGTCTTCCTTCCATGGCGACAGATTTGCTTTCACGTGTATATGCATGGCGTTGTTTTAATCCCGTGTTGACGTTGGCATCTTGTGCGAGCGGGTTTACTGCATCCATCTTTCCAGCTTTATCTTTATAGAACAGTGCTGAGGTCAAATGTGAATCTTTGGCGTCTTTACTAAAGTTCAGGATCGTTTCGATATACGCTCGGTAAGGGTAGGCTGTGCTTGATGGGGTGACCAGTTTGTTGTTCAGAAATACTTCAACTTGTGAGAATAATGCATGCATCCAAAGGTTTGAAGGTCCAACTTGAATGTCTGCACCCACATTTCCTCCGGCCGCAGTAGTGATCTTTGCTTTAACGTATAGGTAACTGCTTGCTAAGTCGGTATAAACTCCAGAATTTGCAGCACATAAAAATTCTATCGTATCTGAAGAAGATAAACTCGTAATAGGATCAACATCTTCCCAAAATCCTTTTTCCATTACCACTTGAGTCGGTGGAATAGAAAATAAATCGAGTTAAGATTTTGAGCACATACAGGAGTCTTTATGCATTGTTTCAAGAGCCATGCCACTTTGGACTATAGTTGTCGAGAGATGTTTTCTGCTTCTTGGTTGGACCGCGAATGGGAGTTTTAGCTGGCGCTGCTCTTTTTATACCCTTTTTGCGACCATTTCCGGTCATTACTTTCTTGGCAACATCAGATACTGCTTGTTTTCCTCGTGATTTAAAAGCTTCTTTTACATTTTTTCCTTGGAGTACATCTTGACCGACTTCTGTGGCTGCTTGCAATGCTCTTTTGCCAACAACTTTAGCACCTTGCTTGAACAGAGGGATAGCATATCTCGCAAGGCTTTTGAAAATACTTCCGATCCCATATCCCCTTTGCATACGTGCACCACGAAACCCAGCGATATTCCCACCACGCTGTTGTCTCAAGAAATGGTCTTTCAATAGTTTAGCATCCACAACTAGTCTTCCGCGCATTTTTAGATAAAGTACTGAGATCTCTTCTGTCTAAAGTGAAGTGTTGCGATTGACTTCCCGAACTCAAATGAGACGTTTTCGTTTTGGTCATTCTTTATATTCACTTCAATGGTCTCAAAAGAATTTACTTTGACCGGTACGTATTGCAAATTACGAAAACTGGCGTGAACGGTGTTTCCATATTCCCCTTCGATATTAACGATTCGTAGTAAAGGAACTTTCACATCGCCCACAAACTGTGCATCAACGATATCAGTATAGACATACATGGAGGAAAATCCACCATTGATATCTGCAGCATAGGGACTCGACGTTTTCTTTTCAATAAGTGTGTCCTGGTCAAATCCCAAGACCGTTGCTAATTCTCCGGTAAACCACACAGTTGTGCCGTGTTTTACATCAATCAAAACCTTGCGAGAACTGCGATTATAACTAAACTTTACTTTTGCCTGTGTTTCTTTCGACATGCCGGCATTGAGTGTTTTTGTTAGTTGGTCGATAGAAGAATATCGTGTTTCTTTAAGCACGACAGTTTGATAAGGGCTACTGCCAGTTTTATACAAAAACGTTTGTTGCACTCCACGTCTTAGCGTGCTCCACGTATGGGGGTAGTGCATTTCCGTCAATGCGACTTCCCATTGTCCTGGCAATACAATGGTTTCAGCCAATTTCACTCGAAAATTCGCTACCGTATTATTTGAAAAATAAGCTAACGAACTATTACTCGGAAGCGTAAGATAAAACTGTGTTGCCATATTGAAGACCAATACACAAATGAACACAAGTTATGAGTTTCAAATACATTTATTTAATATCTTTTACACTCTCTGCTGGTACCCAAGAATTAAATTTATCGGGGTAGCCCAACCATTTTACAAAATACTCTTTACGTTTATTACGCATGCGTGATCTAAGTACTTCTTCGACTCTATAAAAATCACTGTCTGTTTTATTCACTCTTTGAAGCTCTTGTTCGTAAAATGTTCCTTTCAATTCTTCGTCATCAAAATCAGCGATCTTGTACACGGGTGGGCGTCGAAGAACACGTTTGGTTATCGTAAATACTTCCTCGGTCCAATTAGGTAGGTATCCTTTCTTAAATGTGCGCCTTGCTTTGCTGATTCGTACTTGGTCGCCAATGTTAAACTTGAACCGAACGGATTTGTCTGACTCTTCTCCATAAAGTTTTTGCCACACAATGCTCTCGTTGTCTTCATTTACATCAACAGGCCTCATCCCAATACTACGATGTCTCGAATGATTATAAGATTTGACCAGTTTCTGGAGAATGTCCACGTACTTGAGCGTATTCTTCGCTGTAAAGTATTTCCACATTTTCGTCTTGAGCGTACGATTAAACCTTTCGACAATCGATGCCTTGGTTTCGTTTTGCGTCGTGAAAAACCGGATGTTATGTTTCTTCAAAAAGGCTTGAAACTTTCGATTTATAAACTCTGTCCCTTTGTCGCTGTGAAACGTTTCAGGCTTTCGACCTTTTTTAAGTATTTTCTCAAAGGCTTTGACAAGATTTTCTCCAGTCTTTGTTCTTATCGGTTCAGCCCACGCATATTTGCTAAGTACATCGATTACAGTTAAAATGTACTTAAAGCCGTTATTATATTTGCTTATCGAGTCCATAATCACAAGATCAGCCTCCCACAGCTCGTCAATTGCGCCTACCATGACACGGTTCCTTTTGAAACGATATCTTACAGATTTATGTAAAGTATACGTGTCTTGCTTTTGTAGCCATAGCCGTATTTTATTCCGCGATATCTGATGTTTGCCTTCGTCTTTTACGACACGGTAAATTGAATCTATGCCACCAAAGCTTGCGGGACTTTCTGGATTGTAATAGATTTGGCTCAGGTACTTTTCTGCCATCAATGTCTGAGGCTTCAATTACAATTTTCCCTCCACAGCAAGCGGAAATACAACGTACTTTCCGAAAGATATCTCGGAGGGAAATTTCTGGGAGACTTTTACCACAACAGGGCATCCTTTCACCTCAGAGGTTAGAACGAAATGAACCATGCAGCAATCATAGACTAACATATAAAGCTATTAGTGTAAGTGAGAGAGTTATTAAGATTGGTGGTTTATTATTCCTCTTCGCTTTTGGGATATAAAAAGTTCGAAAGGCCTCGACAGTTTTTCGGACATGTTCTCGAACGCTTTCCTCGCTGTCACTTTGCATACAAACTAAAGCTAAATAGGCAAAAATGCGACCAAAGTTTGTCATATTTATTTCTCTGTAGACTTGGTCAAGGTTTAGACCATGAGCACTCATATCACGATATAGATCTCGATGGTGGTCGAGAATTGCATTTATATGAAACGATAAAGTCTGCTTATCGATATCAATTTCATTTTGTCTCAACTCGTCAAAAATTATATTTATATTATTCATTTCACCAGAGAACCTCTCACCATAAAGGTTAAAACCCAAATGAGAAATGTAAGTGATTTATCTCAATAACATACATAACACATTCATGATGATAAAAACAATTTATTTCGTTTTATTACAGTTATTCATATTTCTTAAGGAATTCTTCATACGCTTCCTTAGCATTAATGTTAGTACTAGTGAATGTTTCTCCCGTGTCTTGATTCTTGTATCGATATTCTAACGGGTCACTGAATAGGACGAAGCCAGTCTTGGCCACACGAGGTTCGATCTCTTTCCATTCGAAAAATCCACAGCTGTCTATCTGAGGGCAACAGTAAAACAGGCGGTTCTGGGTGGGTCCTTCTTTTTTCACTTTACGTACGGTGCATACCATCCCGTGTTTGCAGCGTGGTCCAGGGCTTTCGTAAACGTCTCCCCATTGCCAAAAGTTGCAAGGATCATGTCGATCAGAACACGTGAAGAAGGGTCTTCCATAATTTTCTTTCATTTTATCTTTTACCACACGTAATTTGGCTAGTCTCTGATGTGTTGGGCAAATGGGATGATTGGAACCACTATTCTGACAGGCTTCCATTCCTCTCGTGAACAGATAACAATCTTCGTCATGGCAAAAGAACTCGCAGCTCGGTGTTTCGCCACAAAACCAAAACGTACCACGAGCAGTTGTAGAACAAGCAGCTGGTTTACCGTGAAAACATTCCATCGTGAGCGTTGAATACAGACTATGCAGGTGAAAGGACACTAGCTGTATTTATAGTGATGTTACTGCATTGTAATGCTAATTGACCACGTCTGGCCCAGGCCTGCCCGCGTTAATTGGTCGCGCTACCTGTCACAGTTGGCCCAGACCTGCCCGCGTTAATTGGTCGCGCTACCTGTCACAGGGTTAGGGTTAGGGCCTGCAAAGTTACGTCATAAATTTTGCATACTAATTACTTTCGGAGCAGCGTGACGTCATTGGCGGCATCCCTTTGAACTCCAGAGTGGGGGGTATTACTACTATCACCAATTTTAATTTTCCTCAGTTAATTAAACCATGCATGCATTTATTTCCAAGTTTTAGAAGGTGATCTTGCAGCGTGCGCTTACATGTGCAAAATGGAATGTTTCAGGATAGAATATTATACCTTTTTGGCGTTTCAAACATATTGGCATTGCTAATATTCACTTTTCATGTGATGTGCCTTCCGTCTTTCGCGGGAGCTATTGTGCTATAATAACTGATATAAGTAGCTGTTATAAGAACAACAACTGTCACAAGAAAGAAACTCTTAATTATCGCGACTCCGAGGAATATCAAAGGCAAAGGAATTATTTCGATACTCTAATTTTCTTTTTAACTAATACTGTAGTCGCACTCAGCCGCACTGCAGTCGAGTGGAGATCACTCGATAAACGGGTAAACATATCGATTTTTCCCTTAAACCACCTCTTCATATTTTCAGATTATATATCGCATCGTGTAGCGTGATAGGAAACACTTGCATTAAATGTCACAAAAAATGACATTAATTAGATTAATTATATCTTTCTAACCAAGCTATTAATTAATTTATGAGATGATATTACCGAGGATTTAGCGGCCTATGTAGCTTAAAAGATATAGGACGACATCACAAGTGGGAAGACGTCGTAAGGTTAGCGCATATAGTCCTGGTGGTCAACTGGTTATGCCAATTAAATAATAATTATAATTTATTTCTGATTTCTTTAAAGAAAGTAAAATAGGAGACCATCAGGAAACGTTGTGTGTATTAACATGTTCCAAGCTATATATCTTTGCATTTCCCAACTCGAATAATTTTTGGGGGGGAAACAGCCTTATATATTATATAGTTGTGTGACTTTTGTATGTTAAATATAGCCTAGTAAAGACGTTTTAAATAGCGATGTTGTGATTGCGCGAAAACATAAAGGGAATTGGTCTTCTTGATTAGGCTTGTAAAAAAGATGTACTATATCCGTGTATATTTAAAGTAACTATAAATATATGGATATAACAAGTATAAATTAAGGATATCGGCTTACTTTTAAAACGAAGTTGGTATTTCGTGCTTATAATAATTGAAGCCTTATAATTGGCATATGTGAGCATCTTTTGGTTGCATGGTGCATGTGTGTATGTACATAAATGATAAGTGACGGTGATATGACGACTTTACATTCACAGGATTTTGCGCATTTTAATGAGTGCACACAGATTTTTCAGTACCAATATAGAGTCATTATTATTATCAGCATTCTGCAATATACCTGATAATTTCTGCGTGCTGTGTTTTATATTTGCCGTTCAAACTGTTTAGTTGGTTTAAATATCTTTAGGAGTCTTGACCATTTACTATTATGTTAGTAGGCCTATAACACATCGCTATAAATCACCATTGTGACCGTATCTTTGCCTAATATTTAGGAGCGAATTATGAATTATTACGGAAAATATTATAATGGCAATAATTCAACAACCAGCACGTAATCTGCATTTTAGACTTGCCGTGTTTCACATGCAGGCTATAGTATAGAGGAAATTACTGATGCGTACATTAAGCATGCAGTGGACGTATATGGGGCGCCAAGTGTAAATTTATTATTTAGTAGAAAAACGGGTGAACTTTTCCGTTATTTATAAATAATGGAATAAAGATGACATTATTTATATATAATAACTTTTAGAGATTGACATTATTTATATATAATGAAAGTTGTAAAACAATTATTTATATATAATAACTTTAGGAGATCTGTATTATTTATATATAATGAAAGTTTTAATGTTATTATTTAAAAATAATAAAAGTTGTAAAACAATTATTTATATACAAGTTGGTTTCTTAGAGTAATTATTTATAAATAATGTGCTGTTTCGTCTCTTATTATTTACATATAAATAAGTTGACAAATCTATTAGTTATATCAAAGCTAAGTGCAGTTTAGTAGTTATTTATAAATAAGGATCGCATTGCTCGCTTACAAGCATTATTTACATATAATGGAAATTTCGCGTATCATAAATTTACACCTTCACGCACCAAGTGTAAATTTATTATTGGCGGGAAAAATGCGTGGTTACCAAGGCTGAAAGAGCTCCTTATTAAAATATGGCCGCCGATCGCGAAGCTCTTTCGAGGACGATTTCAGAAGCCGTTTCTAGAGCAGTTACCGACGCATTGACTGCAACATTATCGCCGGTAAGTATAGATAATATTTCGCCCTTTTTGCCTTTTGAATTTTCAGTATGAATAAAGAACAGTGTATAACCGACTTATAACGGGGTCAACTTTAAATCGAGACACAGTCCTCGGAGTGAGTTCATTGTTTACTGTACGTGTTGACGTTGTGCTTCGTAGCAAATCTGTGCAATTTCGTATCATTTGCTCACTCCCGTTCAGCATAAGCGTCAATACATTTGAGGTTGACCCCCACTCAATTCACGATCTAAAACGCTTAATGAAACCCACCAATTAGCAATTCCGAGGTTGATGAGTGGACTGGGGACAAGTGTTAAAAAGTCCCCTAATAAAGAAATGAACCAAATCACTGCCATTTTTGGGGTACTTTTTTCCAAGACTGAGCGTAAGAGCATGTAACGACCAACTATTTATAATTTTTAAGGTAAATTTCATCTGTAAATAGTTTGTTTATTCCAAAAAATTGCTTTTCACGTTGTTATAATAATGTTTACACCCGTTTCGAAAAAATGAAAGCACCCAAAAATGGCGGCGTAGAAAGGCTAATTGCATATCATGAGAAGTTTAAAGGTTATTTATATTAATAATAAACATGTACTTCTTTATTAGGTTAAATTTGCAAACACCCTTGACGAATTGAATCGGTATCTGAAAGAAGAGTATCTGCAATGCATATTACAAGCTCAAGGTCATTCCCTCCAGGCGTCATGTTTCGACGAAAAATCTAAATTTGTCAAAGCCATTTTAAATTACGTGTTAGTGGATTCCACCAGGTATCTACTAGAAGAGCTAATTGATGGATTTAAGGTGGTGGGTGTACTTGACGCAATAAGACAATATCCTGAACAGTTCCTAGAAGTGTTATGTGAGAACGATACTAAGTTAGATGCGATCATGGGCGTCCTTATTTTTGAAGTCCACTTAGCGGAAGACGGTACAAATATACGTCCAACTCAAGAGAGGGCTGTAGTATTTTGGAGAGATTTCTTGCAAGATTGTTGCGGTAAGTAGCACATAGTACATACAGCAATAATTTCACACCCCTGCTTATGAAATATCACTGTAGTATAAGGCATAATCAAATTAATTTTTGAACATTAAGTAGGCTCGTGGAAATATACCCGGTAGATATTAAAAATCATATTTGTCTTTTCACGATCTGTTACACTTATTTTAAATTATGAAATTAGATTATGATAATTACGATAATACACCAAAACAACTACAATAAAAACAATTATAATATAGTCATCCACCATATATGAGCTATTCTGCAATCGGGTTGGTTGAGATACTCGCAGTATATCACCTCATATACGGTGGGTAGCAAAAACAAAATGGTGGAAAAAACTAAATTAAAGAGTTTTGCGAACCGGAAAACAGCGAAATATTCGCTTTAGAAGCGACAAAAACGGACAGTAAGGATTCAAAAATCATTGACATGGTAGGGAATACATTTATTAAACTGGAAGTTTCTGCAAATTATTGATAGCAAAAACATGTTTACGAAAAATATTTTTACGAAAAGCCACACGGCTGAAAAAACGAGTTTTGCAGTCAGTAAGCACTTTATACTTTACTCAGAAATAAGGGGTGTCTGTTCTATTTTTAAAACGTATCATATACGGTGGATGTCTATATTATAAAACAATTATACATTCGCTCTCGTCGTATATGAACTGATAGCAGACTCGGCTGTGCCTCGTCGGCTATCAGCTCATATACGACTCGAGCTCAAGGCATAATTGTTAATTAACAATTATCCGCCGAAGGCGAGGTGATTATCGGTGAATAAAAACCGAGACGAAGTCGAGGTTTTTATTCACGATAATCACCGAGCCTGAGGTGAATAATTGTTTTAGTATAATTTCATAGGTGATTATTTGGAAAAAAAATAAGAAAATACACATTTCTTCGTCATTTAATTGACAAAAAGCTTCGGCCGCTATTTTGAAAATCGCTTAGGTGATTATCGCGTAATAATCACCTCAACGGCAACCAATCAGCGTGGAGAATTTTCAATAATCACCTATGTAATTATACTAATTATAGTTAATGTGTGATAAAAAATAACAGAAAAATCCAAGCACGCGGTCTCTAATTTCATGAAGTATATGTATACAAGTATATGTATCGGAACTGGGTCCGACTTTAGCTTTAAAGTCAGATGTACTGACAGTACTATACGCTACTTCTTTTTGTTTAATAGACAGAGAGTCTGCCATCACCCTGGCTGATGTACTAATATTCGCAACAGGAGCAAGTCAGCCACCGCCATTGGGTTTTGACTCAACACCCGCACTAGAATTTACAGCTGGGAAATTTCCCACGGCAAATACCTGTGGCGTGACATTGTATATACCATTATTGTACGGGGAATACGAAGAGTTTAAAGACGCGATGGAATACAAAATTCGTCATCTTTTGGTCATGCTTGAATGACTGGGTGCAACATTGCTACTTTTTTCACATAACCGTTTTAGTTAATAAAGTTCTAAGTTTTATATATAATGTAATGTTTCATTTGGTTTGTAAAAAGCACAAATTTTTATTTGGATATAGTTATATATTCTAATTATATTATCAAGTTTCTTCCGACGAACTGAACAACACGGCGGTAAATTTCTTTTCCGTCATCCCCAGATAATGGATAATATTATTATGAAGGACACGTAATGCACTGTCCGACATGGGATTTGCAACATCCGGAACTTGAACATGCGGGGATAGGCAATTGCTAGATAGTATACTTCAAAATAAGATTTCCGTTTTTATTTTATTTTTAAAATACGTCAGGGTTAGGTTAGAGTTTAGGTTGGGGTTAGGTTGGGGTTAGGGTTGGGTTTAGTATAATTAGGGTTAGGGTTTAGTTTTGCGTTAGGATAGTTTTTTCTAAGTTATAAAAACGGAAACCTTATTTTGAAGTATACTATCTAGCGATCACCATGCGGGATATCTGCAGAAAGCAGATCACGTACATCGACCCCACGGATTGGTACGTTTATAGTTCGGTTTTCCGAGTGGAGAGAAGCCAAATGTATGTTAATCCAGAACAATTGGGCTGGGGTCTTTTGCCCTTCCGTTGAAACACGGTGATTGTTACGTGCAGCAACAAACTCAACAAGGGTCCTCTGGATACGCGGCAAATATGTGTGACATACGCCCGATTTTAATTCGACAGAAATGTGTCCACAATATCAAACAAGTCACATACTAAGCCATAGGCTATAATTGAGACAATAGGTTCGATCGACACAGATAATGTATCGTTCTAGCTGTTGTGTCTTTAATAGTTAGCGTTGCATATATGCTCAAACTGTGTCTGTGGTCGCTAAATCCCCACAATACATTATATTATCAGCTGGCGAGTTCATGTTCTTTTTTCCAACTTTGAATTGTGCTATTTTCTAGTGTTCTTGTCTGGCTATTTTCACGCCTATAATCTTATTATATTCTACTATACACTGTTTAATTTAATTTCCTATTTGAAATTATGAATCACGAAAAAATTGTCAACAAATCCTATATACGCAAAATGTCTTACATATAGACTATAGAGACTATATGCATGTGTATACTATACTTTTAGGCCTGATAACTTCTATATATTGCGCATAGTCGCGTTTAGAGTAGAGAGGTGACGTAAGTCCCAGGTCGGCTGTGTTATGCGTAGCTATAAAAATATCGCCGCATGTCTCCGGTATAAACTGATTGTCTCTAGACTTTAATAGTGCAAAACCGCTTTAGCGTCTTTGATTTTGTTAGTATGGAAATCGACAAAACTTGAAACGTTGATAAATACCAAAGTGATCTATTTTGTTTCTGCTTATGCATGCATCTGGATAAATGTGTGGTTGTTAGTTATGGTTCAGTGTACTGACGTTTTTGTATAGTGTTCACTGCTTTATACCAATCTGTTAGTCAGATCCGTTGAAACGGTGGGCGAATACCGTTCAAACGGTTTCTTAATTTCGTTCGAACGGTTTGTTTTAAAACCGTTCGTAAAGGCGTTAAATTTTTTGTCTTCATCCGTTAGTATTTTTCACTCAAAACGTCTAAAACGTTTTGAAGATCCGTTAGAACGATTTGACAAAACGTTTACTACCCGTTCGTTATCCGTTTTTTTGCCCGTTTTAACGCAAGATCGTTAACGTACGTTTTCCCATGGAAGGTCACAATTTCTCTGAGTATTTATCTCTAAATATACTCATAGGCCTATTTCCCTCACCAGGTGCAACATTTAAAATATGCTGACGTTCATTATCAGTGACAAAATCTGGAGATGTTAACATAGTGTCAGTGATTCCAGCAGGTATTTCTGCTTCGTCTTCACTCCAGTGTTCATCATCATCATCACATGCAGATGATTGCTGGGTTTTACATTCTGTGTCACAATTCAAGCTTTCTGCATTACAGTCCAGAACATTTTCTGAACCCTCTGAAGTTTGATCATTGTCACTATCATCAAATACCATTTGAGTATTTGAATTATCTTCAAGCCAAGTGTCATTGAAAGTTATACCTTCATCTTTATAAAGATTACCATTATTTACAAGCCATTTGGCAGCTTCTGCTACTTTATTTGGTCTGACGTTTAGTCATAAAGCAGAACTTTTGTGTTGCAATTAGGTTAACTTTAATTGTGCTGGACTCATTTGGAGACCTTGGCAACAAGTTAACATTATTAACAACATGTGCTGGAACATTAACAATGTTTCCATTGATTTTTAGTTGTCTCCAACAACTAGGAGCCTGCATTAATTTTTGAAATGCAAGTCTTGAAGCAAGCAATCTACATTCTAATTAATTTAGATCGAAAATGAAGGTTTTTCTGGAAACTGCAGCCCATTTACGGCAGCACAAGGAGGCACCTTGTTGTTTTTAAATACTTATTACAGGTTTTACACAACCACTCCATTTTATTAACGCTTTTTCTATTTAACAATCTTTTTTGAACATCAGGATTATTTTCTTTAAGTGTTGTGACTGGAATGACACTATGCTTGTACCATAATTGGTCACAACAAGTGCAAATATAAAGAGGACCTTGTGAGACAATATCATGAAATTGGGATATTAAACTTCTCTTCGTTCGGTGAGTTCGGGAAACTTCCAGCCACCCTCGGTGCGTCCAATCCCGGCACATGTGACGAGCCTACCAATCCTCCAAACTGTTGAACGTTAATGTTTTCCTTTGCATCATCAAGCATCCATTCCAAAGCACAACTTTCTTGAATCTTTGAAAAATACTGGTTTTAACTATTGGTCTCACATTTTCAGTCTCTGTGCATGGTTTAGGAACATTTTCAGTCTCTGTGCATGGAATAGGACAGCAATTATACGCTCTCCAAATCTTTCCAAAACGTTCCTCTCGAAAAGATGTATTGATAATCAGAGATCTTTACATAATTTTTAGTCAAGTTGACAAGGTAATTATTAATTTCTCCAGCTGACTCTGAAGATGTCAGTGGTTGTCCATTTTCAGAGTTCGTGAGGAAAATCTGTTGATTTTTACTGGAATTACAATTTTTTTTGATTGTGCTCCACCAAGATTTAGAGTCGTTAAATTGTAGGGGTCTGATTTTCGTCGCGTAGAAGGTCTTCTCCAAGTCAGATAATCGTGATTTCAAATGCAGATTTTCATTAGACAATTTGTATAACTCCTCATGGTTATTATTCTCAATAATTTTTGTTTGCAATTTTGGTCATCAAAGCCGTTACTTTGGACTCGATATTTTCTTTAAATATATTGAACTGCTCATGTACAGGGTTCAGGGTCGAAGATTTGACAGGTTGTGGCTTAAAAGTGGTTGAACTGTTGATAGATGCGGCAAGGGATAATTCATATGCCAAGGTCTTTTGGTATGATGCATCAATAAATTCCTGTAGTTGGTCTAGAGATAAACTATCATAAACAGTTGAGCTGTCAGAAACAGGTATTAGTGTTTCATGGTTAGGTTCAATACTGTCGCTGCATGTCTATACCTATACCCTTTCCGCCAGCTTCCAAAGTAGTTTGGGCGACATGCGACGATTCATCCTCGATAGACAGAACCGAGGTCGAGAAAAAAGTTTTCAAAGTATCACCAATTTTACCTTTGGAAGACAAATTACCAAGATCATAGTTCCACGAAATAATTAGATCCGTATTGGAGCCACAAAACTTATTATATTTTCCTCCCGATGCTGACCAGAAGCCAGGTTGACTGACAAAAATATTTGTAAATATCTTTAACATTTCAAAAGTCTCAGATCATTTAAATCTTTTGCCATCATAAGTAAAACATAATATTCATTGTAAATCCCAGTTAAGAGGGTTAATTTGAGTCCAACTAACAGAGCTCGTTTCAAATGCGCCGTGCGCCATTTTGATTAAATATCACACCACTCGCCCACTAATGAACTTATCAACTCGAACATGTTGCTGAATTTAGTTTTTGTTCGTTTGTTCGTCAATACGTTTGCTTTGTCTTCTTATATTTGTGTTTAATTGCTATGCTTGCTTAAATTTTTAAGATGATTAGATATACTATAAGCCAGTTGTTCTTTTTTGCAACCCTGTTATGAGAGAACTATCTCTGTGTGGAAATTCCAGTCATTTGTAACTATGGTACTCTAGAGAACTATTGCAATGGCAAACTTGTAAAATAAAATAGATAAATTGGAAGCTTGCTAACATCGCAGCTATGTGCAAGAAAAACGATCGCGCTGGTGATGGCGTTTTGTTATCAGTGAAATCAAGCACGTTTGGTTCATCCCGTGAAATTCCAGGCCCGTCTGATCTCGAAGTGACCTCACTGGAACTAATAACTCACTCGAAACTAAAGTTCATGCTTTCCTGCTGCTACAGATCCCGTAATAGTGAGAGAAATTGGTTAGACAAATGGCTCAATGCTCTTCATGATCATGTTTTTGGCTCAGTTCTCTTCATGATCACGCTATGAAAGATTTGTGGTGACTTTAACCTCCCTAAAATTAACGGGAAACCCCGGTTCAGACCACAGGTGTAGATGAAGTTGCATTTACAGAACAATTATATGATTTATACTTAACCCAGCTCAACAATTTAATAACCTATCGACAAGAGGTGATAATATTCTAGATTTAGTTATCAGCAGCGTAGCAAACTAGGTAGGAAATATCACAACTCTTGACCCGACTCAAAGTGGATTATTTACTGACCACACGCCAATTATTTTCCATCTAAAAACTTCCATAAAAGCGATCACGAAGCTAACTAAAGGACTGTTCTTGACTACCGCATGGGTTCCGTACTCCTCTTGTCGCAATTGATTTAACCAGTTCAGTTCAATCAAATGATGTCAGCACCAGCTGGCAGCATTAGAAGAATAGACCAAGTCTCATTCAAACTGTGCTATCTAAACGCACGGTCGTTGCATAAACACATTGATGATATTCGGCATGATTCTAATTTTGCTAATAAAGACATCAATATTTTTTCTGAAACTCGATGTATGTGCTCGGATAATGCCAGTATGTATGATATTGATGGTTACACCTTGTTCAGAAATGATGGTCACTCTTTGATTTCCAGACCCTATGGTGGCATGGCAATGTTTAGCAGTGTTGAATTTTACCTGGATATCCATGTTGTTTTAATATCAATGGCATTGAAATAATCATTATGAAAGCAATGATTCTTCCACATGTTACTATAATTGGTATATATCGATCACCCAGAATTCCAGTACAACAATTGTGGGCAGCATTAGATGAAGTTTTGAGGTTCTGTACTTCTCAATTTAACATTTTCATTGGTGACTTTAATATCAATTGGTTGGATGAAGCCAATAGAAGGCCTTTAGATAGATTTTTTATCAATGATCGTAACTATATGCAATTGGTGTCTAATGTCACTACAGACAATCGGACATTAATAGATCATACTTATACAAATCTACCAGAGGCACAAGTTAGTTCACACATTTTAGAAACTTATTTCTCAGATCATAAAGCAGTTTGTGCCTTAATTAATTGTTTTCATTAAGCAAACTTAGCAATGTCATGATAGAAATATTTCTATATTGGGACAAGAGTCACTATAGCTGGACACAATTCGCTTAAATACTTACACATTTTGGTTTTACACACATTAGAGTTAAACAATATTTACTAATTTCCAAATGCTAATAACAGAATCACCAGGTAAACAAGTTTTTTTTTACTCCCCTCCCCCTCCCCTACCACCCATCTTCCACCCACAATTTTGCTTTAGTTCTAACATAAATGTTTTTGTTTAGAGATTTTAATCTTTAAAATACAATATATTAAAATACAACAATTAATGACAAATAAATGTACTTGATATATTTATTGGATAATTCCATCAGAACAACCCACTTGCAAGATAATCTTACCTAAATTCATTAGTATGGCTATACGAAAATAACTTAACAGATACAATAATCATATGGATGGATCTCAACAATGGCATACAATGTACAAATCCAAACTTGTACTCAAACAGATAGCTTCTACTCAAACGAATTTTCTCCCACCACAACACAAATTATTTTGAAATTGAATAAAATTCACAGTTGAATAGGGTTAGGGTAAGTTAGGAGTGGGATTATGGTTAGGATTAGGGTACTAAGTCATTGAACTGCAAAGACCATCGATTAAACTATGACTCGGACATTTGACTCGGGCTCGGATTTGACTCGGTTAACCGACAAACTCGAATAGTTTGTCCATGTTACTCAACAGTTAACATTGGCTAGTGTAATTTACAAGAGACAGAACTTTTGCTTCATATTATTACAATAAAGTTTTGAAAATTCTATGTGTATGGATTGACAGGTGACATCTGCTATCCTGACTATATGGCATCTAAATTGTTTTGTATATTGACATTATATGGATAATAAAGAAGATTGTCAAGCTATCTCTGTGACATCACAAATAGTTGACCTAAGGAAACCTTTGTTACAGTTATGGAAACACCACTGCAAGTGCAATTTATAGCAGCTGTTTTATTCACTATGAAAACCAGATCAATATTCCCACAGATCCGGTTTCAATACTAGAATCTAACATTAATTAAACATCTATTTTCAATTCAAAACCTTCAGAAACTGTACAGTCTATAATATATACTATATAATATATACTCGTAGTATAAATTAAAAAATATTTTATTTTATGCTAGTGTAATATTGTGTGCATGAAATTTTTATTTTCTGACTGCATAATTATTATCAATCATAATCACATTACATAATTAGTTACATTTCCTTGGCGGGGTGGGGGTGGGAGCAGTTGCCCCTGCTTGTTTGACTTTAAAATCTTATTTACTATTATAATTATAATAAGTGATGAAATATTTCAATTGTCCCATGTCATCTTCATTATTCAGTTCCTTTCAACAAAATACAAAATGTGAATCAAGTTTTTCGCCGATACATGTACGCCTAGCGTACCTATTTTTTGTTGTTATCGTGGGTCATAGCATCTTTCTCTTGCTCTCTAATTATCGAAAAATTTCTACGAAACAAAAATATCACTTCATCCTTATCCTCCACTATCTCCTTGCAAGATGAAGTAATTATATTATAATTAGCAAACTTATATGTGATCGATAAAGTGGATCGCAGGCTCTTCAAATAACTTGGAGGGGACAAATTTTATTATTTACAGCACTATGTTTTTCATAGTGAGGATAGTTTTAATTTTCACCTGATGGATTTGTTAAAAACGTATGCATCCGTAGTAAGTGGAAAATCTTCTGATGAAGAGTATGAAAATCAGCGTGTGCGTCTCCGAGAAGCAATGGATAATAAACTTATAAGTTTGCTAATATCAGTCCTCTGATATAACTCCTATAAAACAACCGGAAATTTTCCGGAAACACAGATTGATGACCGAAAGCTCTGCTCAACAATATAGTTCGAAAAAGTGATAAATGCACAAACATTGCCACACTCTGGTGCTGACTTATGCGGCTATACGCTACTGCATAACTGTTTACGCAGTAGACGCAAAAACGCCTTGCCTTTTGGGCCATTGAATAGTTTATGTTAAGGCCCTGTCACGCTAATGCAATAATTGTACTAGAGTATGCCAGCGTATGAAAAATATCACTCACATACGCAGGTATACGCTGACATACGCTTGGGGCACGTTAGGCATAAGTTATATACCGTTTCAAGCACGGTCGTATACGGTGGCATACGCCGAGACAGAAACATTTTTTCAAGCATGCTTAAAAATTTTGTGCGTATTCGGACGTTTATACGATAAGCATACTCTATGCACACGCACGCTGAATACGCTAGAGCTACGCCAGATGTACGGTACTCATACGCTGGCATTTAAAGGATTTTTGTCATTTTGTGCGTATGGAAATTATTTCCTCCATACGCTTCTCATACGTTTCTCTCATACGCAATAATGTGACAGGGCCTTTACCTACTGTTATATAATGGTCCAATAAAGTTTCTTTATACAACAAGCATCAACATCGATAATGATCAACAGTTAATAATATTAGGTACAACAGGTACAAAGCACAGTAGTCTGGAAAAGGCAAATGATTCTTGCGCGAATATATTAATGGAGGTCACAAAAAATCGCTATGTTTAATTAATTAAGCTCACATATGCGTATTGTTTCTGTGGTAAATGCCAGGTAAGCTCGTTGGTTTGTTATTATATTCACGCAAGAATAATTTGCTTTTGCAGACTATTGCGCTTTGTATATAGTATTATTAACTGCTGATATAAGCGCTTTGGTTTGTTAAAAGATATAAAACCTTTGCAAAATGAACGGCCAAGTAAATTCAGTCTGTAGATACAGTAGTTTGAAGTTATAGATTCATTAGCTAGAATGTCATCCAACTGTGAAAGGAACTAGACGCAGTACTAATTACTAAATAACAATGTCAATACCCGGTATTCAACACTACAGTAGTTGTGGCATGCGAAAACAATTCAAAACCCTGCAAAGCGAGCCCTGTTGAGAGTTAGAGATATGTCTATTGCTCTGGCTTGTTTTTTCCTCATCTCTCACTTCGCGAAAAGCTTTTTTTTATATAATGTGCGTCTTAGAAGATCGCTCAAGCTGTTATATGATATATCTTTTGCGTTCCCTTCGATTTGCTACATTTGCTACAATTAATTAGTGGACAGCCAATCAGAAACGTCCTTCTTCAAGCTGAACCTCTACTGTTCTGCTTACGCTGGGTATGGAAATTATATAATATACACTCGAGAACATTTT